CTCAGGCTAATAACACAGGAGCTGTAGGAAGTAGACTCATGATTTCTTGGGTATTAAAGCAGATACGTGAATAAAACCTTTCTGCTTTCACTTTCTATGGCAAGTGAAAATTCCCCGTAAGATTTTCTACCTCATGATCACTCTGACTAAAATTCACTTGCTCTTCTTCCACTCCTCCAAGTCTTGCCATTCCCATTTCATTCCCTCTATCCAAATCACCCAACAACAAACACATTTCCAGAAAAGTTCTCCCACGAAGCAGAAATCAAAAAACAGGGGTTTTTTTCCCTGCAGTTTACTGATACAAAAAAGAACACAAAAACAAAAAGAAGAAAAAAGAAAACAGGTTTGTACCTGTGCTTGTTTGATGGTGTGCTTGGGAGACAAACTCCCTGTGCTGTTTAGACTGTTGACACTACCATGAGACGGGGTAGAACGGAGGCTATCTTTTGGTGGAGGACTTGCAGGGAGAACAGGAACTGCACCAGGAAAGACAGGCGTCTTCTTTCTTTTAGAAGGTGGTATGAGAGAATGGGGTAATAGTGAAGGAACTGGCTCTTTCTCAAGAGCTCTATAAACCAAATGCATTGCCTGCAAAGGCAAAAAAGTCAGACAACATTAACAATTACAAGAAAAAGAAACAATATTTTCCAGTGTCAGTCATTTACATATTAATACATCAAAGACAGCAAGATTAGAGATGTAAACCAGAGCAGATAATGTTGAATGTAATTCCAAAAAGTTTAATCTTGATGACACAGGCAAGAGTCAGTAGACGGATTTGAGAAAGATCACACAACAGCTCCATGTGAACAATTTAGATTAGAACAGTCGACTGTAGCAGAGAAAGCTGCAAAGCTGCTGAGAAAAAACTGAGTGATTTGCTCTAGCAGACACACTGTGAATTGAGAATCTAAAGCAACCTACCACAGCAAATTCGTCCTTGTCCAGGTGACCATCTTTATCAATATCACTGAGATCCCAGACCTACAGCAACGATGACAAAAAAACAATTTAGCAAACAAGTTACATTTTGTACTTTTGATGTTAACTGTCATCATATTAAACACGCTCTCTAAAGACTCCTAACAGATGTTTGTGAAGATCATGCTAGTTATAGTAGACCTAGCTAAACATTCTTTGATGAAACAGACTGGATTAGAGTTCTCTGACAATGTGAATCAACATTGGCCCTAACAAACCCTGGATGCAACACTGGTAGGTTTTTCATCTTTCCACATTGCAATTAAGGAATCATCAAGCTGACTAAAAACATCCAGAGGATGCTGGCTAGCAGATTGTCCAAATGTGTCTTCTAAGAAAGTTAAAGTATTTTAGAAAAGTAAATAAATTTCTGATTTGCATTCCATTCCTAAATTTCTAGTTTTCATTTTTAGTCAAAAAAATATGTCCACCCCCTAAAACTTTGTATAGGAGAGAATTTAAGTATCTATTAAATTTACTTCATTATTAGGTCAAGTACAGTCAACAAAACTTGCAAGAGATTTAGAAGGATACAAAACTTTGTGTACTCTCATACTCAGCCACCAGCCAGCACTGCTTAAATCATCAATATGACTTGGAGACAGTACAGTAGAGTGGACAGAAAGCTAAAACTGAGGCTTAATCATCCAGACTCTACTCCCAGCGATATCACTGGATCCTTGTACAAATTTAAGCTAGCTGATTTATCTCCTTTGTCCATTTCCTCAGTCTTCTATCTCGTCCACAAACTTTTCTGGAACAGGAAAAAGCTTCCTGAATTTCTATCGTGACAATAACAAGATAAAATACGAAGCCCTTCAAGACTGAGCACTTCACAATATTCAAGTACAGAATTAAAACAAGTCATACTTAGATTCTGTAGATAATACAGAGAAAGAGGCAGTTCTTCCTAAAGAGATGATCCTTTGTAACGCAGAAACAGCTCTTACATAGAACGTATTCATTCTCAGTCATATCAATATGCAAAATACTAAAGAATACATATTATAAATGGAAGCAGAAAAATACTTTGCTTCCCTTGCAAATATGCAATGGATGCACTAAACTCAGATCTCAGAAGTACTTATAAATATACACGAAAAAAATACTGACGATTTGACAGCTACAATAAACTAGCATGTTTTAAAGTGTTCTCTTGTACAAACAGCGGATAGATTTAATGGTATGTCTAGTAACTTGTATTTGGAAAAATGACAAAACAGTGGAATACAGTGTTATAAAAGCTATTATGATTTAGGAGAGCTTTTTCTTGTTTTTAAACAACCAAAATAAAAATTTCCAGCTCTTAAAACGCATACAGAGATAATGAAGCCAATCTACCCTAGGGCCCAAATTACTACTATTATTCTTATTTCTAAGTGGAAGACTTCAGGGCCTACTTAACGTTCTTGCTTTACAGCATGCACCTGATGTAAAATCTCAGCCAAAACCTGATCTATGTTGATAAGTTACATTTAAATATTTAACACTGCAACTACGAGAAGCTAAATAGAGAATAGCTAAATCTAAACAGCATACTTACCCTTCCAAGGATATCAAGAGGTAGCTTTGAATTCATCAGTACTGGTTTTACTTTGTCTCCTGAAAGTAAACCATTTACTGGCAAAAGGCTTTCAAAAATACCATCAAACTTTGCTTTTTCTTCCACCTAGTTGGTAAGAAATAGCCTGAATAAGTAAAAAAGTGTGCCTGTGTGAGTGTTGAAAATGAGATCTTGCAAGAAATTAAGACTGGTCAGTAATGTATTCATTCTAAATTTCCAAGCTCTCCTGCAAGTACCACCCAGGCTGTATTTAAATGTAAAACCCATGGAGCTAGATTTAGGAGCTTAATTTCAAAGCTAAGGTTATGATAACTGAGAAATTTTAACATGTAGCATAGAAGATGTGTTTCTGTAGTTTTGCAAAAGGACAATGTGTTCTGACTAAAACACTGCTGACCAGATTTTAAATCAACTTTTACAAACTCCGCAGAACTAAAAACTATTCTTCCCAAATAATTTGCTTCCCACAACATGTAACTACAAAAAAAATCTGTATTAGAAGTTTTTTTATTAAATTTTTATCTTTTGGAAACTGTTCACATTTGAAAATTAACTAAATACAAATAGTCCCATGAATGTATCAAAAGTTACTTTCTTCCAACTATCTATATTGTGTGTATCACTGAATACTAATTAGAACATATGAACTCAAGCTTTAAATTAATACTTCAGGATGGATTTGGTGAAATGCTTTGCTGTTCTCAGTGGGGTTCCTTTATACAAACATGAAAGTGCCTACTGTTAGGATTCTGGAAGAAATCCAGGCAGAAGATTAAAATTCATTGTGTCTTAAAAAGATCACATTGGGGGTTGTCAAAGGCTTGTTTAATACTTATTTCAAATATAAAACTACAGCTCAATATTCTCTATTGTGCACAAGTCTGTCATCAGAAAGGGAGGACTTCTGAAATGGGAAATACATTTGATACAAAATTCTCTCACTGGGAAAATTACAGACAAGGAAAATATTTACTTTTAAAGAATGGATGGAATGTGTTGTCTTTTACACTTACCCTAACAGCCCAGTGAGTCTCTGTTGAAGGTGGTGTGATCAGCAAAGGACTGCTAGTGTCATGCTAAAAATTAAAGAATTTTTTATTTATATGTATATATATAACTGTACGCACACTTCCATCTCTAATCCTTACAAATTGCTTTAACAGATGGTTATAGACATGAACCTTGACTAAACTGAAAAAGCGAAAAAGGCTGCACATGTACCCAAACAAAAAGATAAAGTCATATGATTTGTACTATTAAAGTCCTTCAATAAGGACACCGTGCATTAGGTGTCCTAATGCAGACACAGAACTAAGGCAACGTAAAGGAGGTTCCACAGCAGCTACTGCAGGCAAAGCTGCAGTCATGCCCCTAACTACACACTCCTGCTGACCCAGTCCAAAAATAGTAAATTTTTTTTTCCTTTTTTCATAAATTTAGAGTTTAGCCACGTCAGCTTCCTAAACAAGCCGACTGTAGTTAAACTTGCATCGGTTTTGCAGTCCAGGAAGGGGCTGGCACATATTTCTCCTGAAGCCAGGACTATGGCAGGCACT